CGTGGAGTTAGTTCAGACTCAGAGTGACCAATGAAACATGTTGTTGTAAATTGCTGTTGAGTGGGTTCTGACTCTATGTACAACAGAATGAAACACAGCTGTACTTCTTAGACAGATTGTTCATTCTCCTGGCAATCCATGGCACGGGCAATATTCAGCCTCAGGTCCACACCATCATTCAAATAACCAGTTCTTCTCCAAGCTTTCTCATTCATTGTCCAGCTTTCTCTCACATGAGGTGATTAAAAATACCATGGCGCATCTAAATCCTCAAAGTGACATCTTTACTCCTTAACATTTTAAAGAGGTGTTTCAGAGTAGATTTGCCCAATCCAATGTCAGTTGTCTCAAAAAGATGGTCCCCACCAGTGTTTCTTAAAAATTGCAATCATTCTATTTTAGGCTTATATACAATCTTTTATGGAGAGCTTTTAACAAAGAGACATGAAATGATTTAGGCACCATAAGCTTCTAATTAGGACTTAATCATAATGTACTTACGGGATCCTGAATACATTTTCCAGTTTCTTCATTTTTAGCTAATTGTGGGCTTTTATTAATCTTTCTAAAATTAGTGTTTTAAGATTATAATGGTCTCTTATAAAATCAAAGTGAACTTTTCTCTGTTTGCATTAGGACTAGAAAAGCTTGAAAGGCAGTCGAGCTGACTTCTTTATTGTTGTTGTTGTTAAGTACCGTGGAGTTGGTTCCAAACTCATAGCGACACTGTACAGGGTTTCTGAGGCTGTAAATCTTTACGGGAGTAGAATGCCTCATCTTTCTCCTGTGGAACCACTGTGAGTTTCAAACTGCTGACCTTGAGGTTAGCAGCCCGATTCGTAACCACTACACTACCAGAGCTCTTTATTAGCAGGGATTTTCTCACTGATCTCTGCAATCTAAGAGATTCCTTTAGATTGATGAGCCTGTATTTTTATTACAGAAACCTCAAAAGGGGGTAGTACAGCATATAACAAGTTAACTATCAAAGGCTTTTTGTTTAATAGCAGTTCCAGAAGAGGTTAAAAATCTCCTCTATTTTCATAGCATGTCAAAATCATAAGTTACTCGTAAGCGTATTTAGAATCTGTGCAAATATTCATAGATCTCACTTTAGCAAGTCT